TCCATCCATCCATCCATCCATCCATCCATCCATCCATCCATCCATCCATCCATCCATCCATCCATCCATCCATCCATCCATCCATCCATCCATTGATAAAAATATCTTTGATGATCCACTAATGATGTAGCTAGTTAAGCTTGATAAAGACAACTTTTAGCATAAAAGCAAGTTCATTTTAAAATAATGGTCAAAAGGTCAAAACCTTTTCAGGTTTACTCTCTCTGGCTTCACATTTTTGCATCCATTAGATGTAACTGCTCTAAGGAACAGCAGACCAACTGATCTGGGGTTCATTAGAACAAATTTATACAGATTGTCGATTTCCATTAGACTAGAGAGCTAAAGCGTTTTCTTTTTTGTTGTTTGTTTTCATTTTCGCTTTACGTAACTTAAAACTGTCAGCAGCAGAGGAGAACTCGCTGAACGAGAATGGTTCCACATTAGTCTTTAGACAAACATTGAACGCGCACACACATGCACACACACACACACAGATGCACAAACACATCTGAACTGTCAGAAAAAAATGTCACAGGTCAGTCCAGTGACCATTCCTCACTTCCTCTCTCTTATAACTGAATCAGTTGAAACGTTCATGCAGAAAATCAAAGAGCTTAAAAGCATTAATACATTACAGGCACAACAACACAATCAGTGACAAGCATTTAGTAGCCTAAGGCAGCAGTAAAATACTTAATGAATCCTGTTGAGGCTTATTTTAGGAAGAGATGGGTTTGTAATTATTCTGCTTTGAAAAGAAACAAATAAAGCAAGGCAGGTTGGAAAGTGCAGATGTGGTTTGTTGAAAAAAGTTATTATGTTCTTCATTGGCTTCAATCCAATTTTTGACTTTTTTTTCATTTTCAGATTCATTGAGAAACAAGCAGAGCATAGTGTTTATTGCCTTCAGTTTGATGAGTCAAAGCTTTTTCTGCTGTTAGAAACATTTTTCAGTACAAAAAACTGAAACAAATTCTTCCTAAATTATAAACATATATAGGGATGATTGTTGTCATTTGCCTGGCGACCCATATATATATATA